AATTTAAAAACCCTTGGTGAACGAAATCATCAGGCTAATAAAAGAACTGGTTCTAAACAGTCTAGACAGCTCTCATCCAATCAGAATCTAGCACAGAAAACATGCTTACAATCAACGACGGTTGAGGGCGCAAAGTCAAGTGTGAAGACACCGACCAATAGGAAGCGAGCAATTTGCATATTGCCTACGTCAACGAAATCCAAGGGACATTCAGTGTGCTCTATGGATCTTTCCTTTGGAAGAAGGTTAAATCAGCCTAAACTAAAGAATTTAAATAAAATGGACGATAACTCGACTTGTTCTTTTCCGGTAATTAAAATAACTTCTCAAACTAATTCTCAAACTAACTCTCCAAATAGATTACATTCGCAAACCAACTCTCCACTTAGATTAGATGAAAACCTCCTAAGTAGTGATGAAATAACTGTTATTAACCCAGAGATTGTTGCCATTACGAAGAATACACGAGATTCAAAGATTAACACAGTACTTTCTAATCCTTCGAAGTTTCCGGGCGAGCTTTTTCCTACTGTTAACCCTAATCAGCAAACTATGTCCGTCATTCCGCGTGATTGCAAAGTTATTAAGAAATCCCAAGCGTTACCAGAACTTTTTAAATTGGAATTTGTTGCCTCTAACATACCAGCGGATGTGAATTTACTACGAGGCAAGGAAGCATTGGAGAAGAAGATTAATTTAATCCGTTTGGCAGCGGAGGCCACGTACTGTCAGCAGTGCACGGACGCGGGTAAGAACCTAAAAACGTTGTTACCCAGGGGAGACGTGGGCCTGATCCCGGAACCAAGGGAACCAAATGAATGTATTTAGTTGGATTTCTGGGGGCCAATAAGCTATATAAATGAAAGTAAGAAATACGTCTTAGTTGCTACGGACCGTTTTTTGAGATGGCCATCAGCGATGGTTACTACAACCAATACTTCAGATAAAGTCTTAAAATTTTGCGATAAGTACATAACTCAGCATGGCGTACCTCGGAAAATCCACGTCGATCAGGGATCATGTTTTACATCTAATAAATTTAAAATCTTCTGTAACAACGAGGGCATTGAGTTAGTGTACTCCCCAGTGAATGATCATCGGGGTACGGGTTCAGTGGAAAGAACGATAGGAAGTTTGAAGAACTTTGTCCTCACTTATGCATCTGAAAAAGAGCATAAGTCTGTAAAAGTTATGGTCGATAAAGCATTAGGCGCGTTACGGTTTTCCAAAAATGCAACGACTAAACTAACACCTTTTGAAGCTCACCACGGCCAGAAGCGAACACCGTTTTACGAAACCTTACGAAAAAACCGAGCCTTAAAAATCTGAATTGGAAGAACGTCTTAAAACAAAAGTGTTTGTGTTTAGGCGAAGGTGACCCTGAAATGAGCTCAATCGAATTTCCACAGCCTTCGAACTGGGAAGAACGATCGGATTTGTCAGATGCTCCGGCACTAAAGAAAGCACCCCTCATTCTGGACAACGACCAGCAAATGGAAATAGGCCAAGGGTAGGTATCGGGGGTTGACCCGAAAATCCAATGGAGTAGAGACGCAGGCGGCTCCAAAACCCAAGGGAGTGGAGGTGGAGGCGACATTTATCAGCGTACCACCAGCAGGACCCTAAATCGGTATAAATTCTTAAAATCTCATGTAATCTCCGAGTCTAAACATACACTCAAGCTGAAAAACGGATCTGTTCTTAGGAAAAGTGGAGTGGCAGTGAAGCCAAAGAACATTCTCCCAAAGAAACGGAAGCCGGCCACGCTCAGGAAATGTTATCGAGTGCAAAGAAAGGGGCAATCGAGAGCCCGAAATCTAAGCGGCCAAGAGCCAAACAGCATGTAGCGGTAGCCACATATCAGTCGGACAGTTCAGATAGCGAGGATTACCGGCCACTCAATATTACACCAGCGCGGCTACCAGTTGAAGTTATGGCGAGACAAGGGGCGATTGCGACGGGACAAGGCCCAAGTAGTAGTACTTTAGTAGTAGAACATGAAGCGGGAACAAGGGTGAAGCCTAAAGCAACGAGCGAAAACTAAACAAGCGAAACGAGGGAAGGGGAGTCAGGACCGACCGGCGTTAGTTGCGAGAGAATGCCTTACGAATAGTAGGAAGAAGAATCGGGCAGTCAAAGTGAAAGCTCGGGAACAAGAAAGAGTACCAGAAGAAGGAAGCCAGTAGATAAAATGGGAGGAATCATGATAGACAATATCCAAGGAGCGGAAAAGAAAGGAAAACATCCAGGGGAATGAAACAAGAGAACTTTAAACTTAAACTCTTTCAAAACTCTTTACCCAGGGAGAGGGATGGCCATAAGCCTAAAACTCAAAGTTTGTTGTTGATATGTTAGTGCGGCGGCAGGTATTAATTACTATATTAAATTTAATTACTCTATATTTAAATTTTACATCTGTACGGAAATGTGAGGGGCTACATATTTACATGTCAATCAATTTAGTTGCTATCCATTTATTACTTATCTCTGAGAGTTCTCATATTATAATTAAGTGTGATTTGGTACCTGCCTGTCAATCAGTCTAGATCTTCTAGCTGTTATTTGTTGACCTCTAGTTCAGTGTCTTTTTTATGCGAACTAGAAATCAGTTGAATTAACACTTAACAGGAACGATTTTTCTATTCCTTGTTAATAATTACTGTTTTGCATCGTTTTTATGATCTGTTCTTTTTGATCATGAAGATTGGAGAAACAGCCAGTCCTAGAAATGTTCCACAGAAGTAATTATTGAAATAGTAAATCTGTTTTCCGATTGCGATTTGTTATGTTAACTGCCCAAAATTTTTATTAAGTGGCATTTGATAATATGAACTAATCATTTTGACTAAATCAATAAAAAATACCATAAAATTTGTGCTCCAATTGCATTTTGTATTGTCGATGAGTGAATTCAAGCATTTGTTATTTACATATAAAAAGTTTTTGTTATTTACATTTTACGCGGTTTATTACTCGATTAAGGATCGTCTTTTTTTGGCTGATCATTTTTTGACAAGTAATTTAAGTTCAACTTCTTCTAATTTGTTTTATAATACATTTATTTTATCTTTTTATGCTTTTTTGGTTTTTTGATAGTTTGACCTGGCTTTAATTTTAAGTTTAGTTACTTTCAGTAATTTCTTCGTTGTTTTTCGAGTTTTTTACATCAAGTTTTAGTTTCACTTTTTAAAATACAATTTTTTAATTTTTTTTAAATGTCTTGAATTTACAAAAGTTCAAGAGTAAACACGCGAGAGTTAAAATTTCCAAATACGAGATAGTAACTCTTGGGTTTTTCAAGTCTTTGCAGGCTTGTTAAAAACTATGGAAGACCGTAGCTTTAGCATCAAGCTTAAATTGCATAAAGAGTTTTAAGCCTTTAAAAGGAAGTTCAATTACATATTAGCCGATCAAATTTCTTGGAATTACACTAACTAAAAAAATCCGGCTGCTTGTCTCATTTGTTTACATTAGGAATTTAACTAGGCAATTAGGAAAGCTTCTATTTTTCCGACTTTCGATACGAAAGTAACGGAATATTTGTGCTCGGGTTGGGTTTTTGTTTCTTCAGACAATTTTTTTTTCCTTCAGACAAATTTTGACATTTTAACTAGCCATTTTTGACGGAATTTTTTTTTATCATTCGAAAGGTATTGTTGTCCTGAGCTTAAATTTGAAAAGATATTTCACCTGTGATCATTTTTCGTAAGGTTATGGGGGTTTAAAGATTGCCATTTTGGCCAATTTGGGACAATTAACGCGCGATATATTTTGCGCTCTTAACGCGTGAGCGGAGATTAATCCAACCTAAAAATCATTCCAAATTGTTTGAAAGAAGCGTAATTGCTATAAATATTTTGTTACAAGGAGCGAAACTTATCCTTTTGTACTTTACATGGCGTGTGGGGGGATGATTTTCATGAAAAATTTCAAGTTTTAGAAAAAAAATTTCATTTCATATTATTACATTTAATTTTTTTAAAAGTTATTTCTTCTCCATAAACCTTAAAAGGCAGTCGGAACATTCAGGGTTTCGCCGTGATACGAGCAGTCTTTTTCAGTTTTTTGTTAAAAAGTAGTGAAAATAAATAAACAATCATGCATCTGCCACTAAATGGCCATACCGAAATATTCTTCTAGTTCTTCCAGAACCACGACATAAATTTATCACCATCTCGCAGTTTTTCAACTATCCAAACACACGCAATGGGGAAGAATTTTGTACTTGGTGTGTGTTTTAGTTTTTGTAAGTGCAAAACCAAAACCATAAACAATTAACAAAATAGGTCGACTGATATATGAAAATAAAACATCAAATATATCAAATTAAAGCAGTAGTTATTTAAACGAAATTAAAGTTTTCTAACTCTGCTCAAAACTTTTTGAGGTTTAGTTCAACTTCGAGCGAGTAAAGCAAAGAAGAAACGTTCTTTTTATGAAAAGTCATATTTAATTTAAGCTATTACGCTAAAAAATTTATATTTTACTCAAAAGAAAACTAATTTCGGATATATTATTTTGCATCTTGCAGGCGAAAAAATTTTTCCAATAAAAATTTTAAATTTTTCAGCAAAAATTGAAAAAAATTTAACAAAAAATTCTTATTTTTTTTTCTTTTTTTTTCAGGATATTTTTTTGTTATTAGTTTTCACTTGTAACTACTTCATTTACTTTCTACTTCATTCACGTTTGTATATTTCTTGAATCACTGAATCGCGCACTGAAAACGACACTGAAATAAAACGATACACTGGTTCCATGTTTTTAACGTTCGATTGTGTTTTTTTTTTGCTTCAAATGACAGTATAAAAGCAAAAATAGCTTTTCAGAAAATCTCTAATCATATTATTTCTGGAGGTTAGAGAATTGAGTTTTTATTTAAAAGTACTTTGAATCTGCAAGCATTTTTGACACGAAAATGCAAATAAAAAATAGGTAAGCATTCGACTAGAAAATCTATACAAACAATTAAATTTTCAAGTCTTTACGCATAAATTCAAGTAAAGTTACGTGAGAAAGCAATGCAATTAATCTCGTTATTTACGATTGAATAAAAACGTATCAAATTTGAAGTGGTCTAGTTAGTTGAAAAAACAATAACTCTTGTGTTCTATTTTTAAAATTGACTAAAGAAAACGCGATTTGAAGAACCCGAAACAAAAACATGGCTGATTTTTTTGACCACTTGAGGAATACGGATTGGGTGAACATTGACGCGTGGATTTGTGCCTGTATATGCCCATGCTATGTCTTCTACAAGATCGGATACTCCGTAAGTTGAAGAAAGATTTTTAGAAACTGAATTTCGGTTTAAATTTGCAGAGGTTATTGCCCTTCAGTAACACAGCCATACATAAAGCCAGGGGCGGATTTAGGGGGGGGGGGGCGGGGGGGCGGACGCTTCCCCCCCTCAGGGATTCGACCCCCTGCCGACCCAAAGGGTCCCCCCTTTGATACTTTTTCAGAAATCCATTTTTGGCCGACCGACCCTAAAATTTTTCTAAAGACGCCTTCGGCGCCAATATATACTAATTTTGAGGGGGAGCGCGCGCCAAAAAAACGCGATTTTTTTGTCAAAATTTTTCAAAAATTTTTCAAAAATATATACTAATTTTGAGGGGGAGCGCGCGCCAAAAAAACGCGATTTTTTTGTCACAATTTTTTGAAAATCCGCCCCCCCCCCTCGAGAAAATCCTAGATCCGCCCCTGCATAAAGCAAAGTGTTTTCCATTTATTTATTTGTTTTGAATTAGCCTATTGTGTGTACTTTTATGTAAATTTCCGTTAAAATAAGCTTTTCTATCAGGTCAAAATAAGTTGGGGGGGATTTCAGAAAACTGATTGGCTTTGAAGGCAGAATCGCAAAACTTCTAGGCATTTTTTATTCAGGCCGACCATTTGTATATCTGATATCTCTCTATAAAGATAGAACAAGTTTGTGTTCTGTACTGCACTATAGTCTTTGGAAAATCTTCCCGAAAATGTCATCCGAAAAGCTTTTTGAATGGTTACGACAATTTTGAGCTTTTCTAGAACGCTCCCTTCAAAACAGGCCCAAATTGGCGCCAAAAGCTTTTGTCCCAACTTTCGTCGTAATAAAAAATGGCAACTGTGACAATATAAGCGTTTACGGGTTGATGTTTTTGATGAAGTGCGAAATGATTTTCCATTTTTTGCCGAAATATTTAAGAAACTGAGATTTGGTTTTCTGCTTTCAGAAACTGAAGGAGGATTTCTACCGCATGCTCGCCGTGTCGTTCTGCCCCTGCACTCTCGCATTCTGGTACATGAATGCACTAAACAAGATTCAAAATAACAACGTGAACAAGGTGCTCGCGTGCGCATGGACTTACTTCTTCACGCCTTGCGCACTCTACGTAGCAGCCGCAGATGACGGGATGAAGGTCAAAGAGGAATTGAATGCGTGCGTTGACCTGCTGAAAAAAGTGGTGACAATCGATCGGGTCTGAAATCAACAACACAAACCTTCAATCATTGTAATAATCGCGAGAAAATGTTTAGTAATCAGAAAAATATTATTGGAAATTCTCACAATAAAACCAATGCATTTTCTTTCATTTTCATGCCTTCACACATAAAATCACCTTAACTGATTTGAGGTTCAAAAATTGTATCATTAACTGAATTGAAATAAATTAAGTCATAATTTATAGCAGCGCCAGAGACAAAAACTTGATGAAAAAACCCAAACAAATGGATTTCTTCAGAGAAGCAGACAAATGTTGGTTGCAGAACACCACTAAACTCAACTTTGGTTCACTACAACAAATAATTTAAATGTTTTCTGTGTCGGCTGTTTTTCATTTTCTTTCCCACATTTGAATTCAAGTTTAAAGAAACTACCTTACGTTGTCTTAATGCAATGAAGTTTTGCATGGTAAACAAAGAAATTATTGTGAACAGAATTGTTTCGAAACTTACATAAAAAATTACGTGTTTAGCAACGGTCACAAGAAAAAAAAACTAAAATAGGAAATTTTAATTGTGGTGGAATGGAAAAGAGCCTTCATGTCTTCCAAATAACTTGCAAACTACTCGTAGGTATAAGTAAACTCTTTCTAACGAAAACAAAATTTTTGCCCTTGATATTAATGTGACAAATTTGGGGACTTGAACCCTATAAAAACTAAGCAACGCATTTCGGTTTTAACAGATAATGATTTACATTTCTTTCGGTCGTCCTATCTCCTAAACTAAATTTTTTTGTAGAATATTTTTGAAATTTTTTTTTCGAAAATCAGGATTTGACCGGTGATATTGTTAACGTAGAGGTCTAAAAAACTTAAGTGAAATGATGAGTTTTTTCAATTAATAAGGTAATTATGACCGAAAATAAACAAAGCTATTTAGAAAAATTAAGGTGAAAATAGCTTAAAAAATTAAGCTAAAAAAGTTTTTTAAGATACTTTCACCTTAATATTTCTTAATTTAAGGCAAAATTTCCAAATAAAATAACTTTAAATTTAGGATGATTATATGTAAATTACCTACTTTCTTGAAAAAAAAATTTAAAGGTAATTTACCAAAAATTATTTTTAGGTACTTTTTCAGGTTGATATACTTTAACTACTTAGGTAAATAAAAATAAAGTCATAAGTTATTTATATATTAATTAGGGTGTGATTAAAGTTTTGCAAATTTATCTCAATTGCTAAGGTGTTTCAAGGTATTTTGTAAGGTTTCCTTACCTTAATTTTTGTGAGTGTGTGTGTTAGATCTTAATGATTCAAGAACATAGCTGATACGTCTTCAATCCTTATGAACTTAAAATAGACAAGAAAAAAATTAATTTTCATTTGGTTGTGATTTTTGACGGGGATAATATGATATCAGCTTTGTTTTTTTTGAGTCATTGTGTAAATTTTCTTGTCAAATTTTTGAAGAATGAATATTAATTTTAGTTACAAAGAATAAAAGTTGATCCTTTTTCTTCAAAAGTCTTTCTCCACAAGAGAAAAAAAATCTGCTGCATATCAATGTCTTGTCAATGAAAGCAAAATGATCAGAAATAGGATTTTTTGCGTATGTTATCTGCTCAGGTTGGTCTTTCGTAGACTGAAATAACAGTTTTTTGACCGATATGTTTCAGCGAAAATTTATTGGTTTTTTTATAAATTTGAGTTATTCATGGACTTTTAGGAATTTTGAAAACTGAAAAATCTAACTGCTTTGTGTATTTTAATTTTAGCCTATGTTCAAGATTTTTTTTTGTCAGAGTTTGTTGAAATAAAGAAGATAGAGGTAAATATTTTCCTCGTCGGACTCTTTTATGCACACAATTATCCAGTTCACTATCAGCTTGTCTACAGTGCTGATTTAAATTAACCGGACAAAACGCGTTAAAGTTGAAATTTAAAACGCGTTTTTCTCAAATTGGGTTGAGTTTATGTGAAGATTTATGAAGATAAAACTTGCTTAAAATTTTAGCAGAATTAATATGGTGTAATTTGTTTAATATGGTGTAATAATATGGTGTAATTTATGGTGTAAATTTGGGCCCAAAATTTTACCCCAAAAATGGGTCATTTTGGCTTTTCTTAGTTAATCAAAAATTTCAAGAAAATTATACTCTCCAAAACATCGTAAAGGTCATTTCTTTTTTGTTTGATAGACAAAAAGGCCGTGTTTACTATATAAAATGCTAACTTTTCATTTAAAAACAATTTTTAAACGGGTTGCAAATTTTTTTGAAGAATATACCCTTGTTAAAGTTTGTTGGGCTACAAAAGAGGCTCACTTTGATATAATTATGTCTCTGATCGACTGGGTATTTTTGGCGTAGTTTTTGATTAACTAAGAAAAGCCAAAATGACCCACTTTTGGGGTAAAATTTCGGGCCCGAATTTCGCAAAATAAATTACACCATATTAATTCTGCTAAAAGTTTAAGCAAGTTTTGTCTTCATAAACTCAACCCAATTTGAGAAAAACGCGTTTTAATTTTCAAGTTTAACTCGTTTTGTCCGGTTAGTTTAAATCAGCACTGTACAATTGGATTGACAACTGCATGCAAATTTAATCAAGTTTATCTGCAAACTTACACAAGACTGCTCATATCAGGGCGAAGCCCTGAAGGTTCCGACTGCCTATTAAGGTTTATGGAGCAGTAGTAACATTAAAAATTAAACGTAATGAAACAAAAGGAAGTTTTTGTTCCGACTTTCGATACGAAAGTAACGGAATATTTGTGCTCGCGGTGGGTTTTTTTTCTTCAGACAAACTTCGACTTTTTAACTTGCCCTTTTTGACGGAACTTTTTACATCATTCAAAAGGTATTCTCGAGCTTAACTAAGAAAAGATATTTCACCTGTGATCATTTTTTGTAAAATTATGAGGGTTTAAAAGTTGGCATTTTGGCCATTTTGACCAATTTGTGACAATTAACGAGCGATATAATTCGATCTATTATCGCGTAAGCGGAAAGCGGAGATTTAATGCTTCTTATAAATTGTTCCAAATTGGTTGAACGAAGCTAATTTGCCATAATTGATTTGTTACAAGGAACAAAATCTATCCTTTTGTACATTATATGGCGTGTGGGGGGATGATTTTCTTTAAAAACTTCAAATTTAAGAGAAAAAATTTTTACTTTATTGTATTTAACTAAATTTTTTTATGTTATTACTGCTCCATAAACCTTAAAAGGCATTCGGAACATTCAGGGCTTCGCCCTGTTACGAGCAGTTTTGTTTTTTCTAAAATTTGAAATTTTTTTATTAAATTTATCCCCCCACACGCCATATAAAGTACAAAAGGATAGATTTCGCTACTTGTAACAAATCAATTATGGCAAATAAGCTTCGTTGAACTAATTTGGAACGATTTCTAAGACGGATTAACTCTCCGCTTACGCGTTAATAGCGCGAAATATATCGCGCGTTAATTGTCCCAAATTGGCCAAAATGGCAATCTTTAAACCCCCATAACTTTACGAAAATAGATCACAGGTGAAATATCTTTTCAAATTTGAGCTCAGGACAACAATAGTTTTTGAATGATATAAAAAAATTCCGTCATAAATGGCCAGTTAAAAAGTCGAAATTTGTCTGAAGAAAAAAAAACCCACCCCGAGCACAAATATTCCGTTACTTTCGTATCGAAAGTCGGAACAAAAATAAATAGCACTTTTAATTAAAACGTAACGAAAGGCTTATAATCCCTCTGCTTAGGTTTTAATTTTTGTTCCGACTTTCGGTACGAAAGTAACGGAATATTTGTGCTCGGGTGGGTTTTTTTTTCTTCAGACAAATTTCGACTTTTTAACTAGCCATTTTTGACGGAATTTTTTTATATCATTCAAAAGATATTGTTGTCCTGAGCTTAAATTTGAAAAGATATTTCACCTGTGATCATTTTTCGTAGAGTTATGAGGGTTTAAAGATTGCCATTTTGGTCATTTTGAGCAATTTGGGACAATTAACGCGCGATATAATTCGCACTATTAGCGCGTAAGCGGAGATTTAATCCGTCTTATAAATCGTTCCAAATTGGTTGAACGAAGCTTATTTGCCATAATTGATTTGTTACAAGGAACGAACTTTATATGGCGTGTGGGGGGATGATTTTCATAAAAAATTTCAAATTTTAGAGAAAAAAAAATTTTCACTTTATTTTATTTCATTTAATTTTTTTATGCTAGTACTGCTGCTCCATAAACCTTAAAAGGCAGTCGGAACATTCAGGGCTTCGCCCTGATACGAGCAGTCTTGTTTAGTCTTTTGTTATCTCATCAACGTTTAGGAATGTTAAAATACTAATTTACTGCACAAAATTGTCAAAACTTTTTGGCGGCATTTGTTTGAGTACAGTAAAACAAAACACGTTTCCTTAACGATTATGTGTTTAAATCAGAAAATGTGCATCAAATGATACTTAAAAAATAGCATAATTATTGGATATATAGCTTAATATTTGAATCAATGTATATCCATCCTTTCAGAATCAGTGGTTATCAAAGAATCAGGAACATTTTGAAGCAAAAAATGTTGCGCACTAACGCTAAAACATACTGGCCAAAATACTGTTTGAGATTGAAAGTTTGAAGCTTGCCCCATATAAGTTGAAGTTAAGGCTACTAGACTCACCGCAGAGATTTTTAGTTCTTGTTGAACGTTCAATTATTCCCTCTTTATTCCGAAGACATCGCTCATTCTCTCGAATCGCTTATTCTCTCAAAATCATTTTCTTGAGTAGAAAACTTGCCTTTCGATTGTTGAAGTACACGAAAGCTAAAGATTTTCACAACCCAAATTGGTTCAATTTCATTCGCAATGAAGTTTGTAATTTGGCCATCACTCTGCCGATTGTTTTCAATTTTTTATAGCTCTTCAGTTTGTAACTTTTGTTCGTTTTTTTTTGTGTTTTCAAAAATTGCATGACATTTTTACCAGTGTTTGACATTCAGTTGCAAAAGAAGATATCCAAAGAAGTTAAATGGTCTTCTAGTTAAAGAAGAAAATTGCAACATTTTTCAGACTTCAAACATACGAACATTGGTAGGAATATTGATATATTATAGACCAATTTACCCGGTACAAAAATTTTGTATGTATCAAGCCTACACTTTATGAGTTTTGTTAACTGCTTTCTGTAGGTTCCTGCGATGAACACACCACAAATCTCATCAAATCAGTTTGAACATTTGTGTTTACTTTGCATGCAACAAAACAATAAAAATAAAAACCTATCCAATGAGGGCTAAACATCTTCAAGATATAAAGTCGAAGAAACGGTTCTTGGTTAAAAAAAGTTTAACACGCAAAAATATGAAAATATGTTTTTGTTTGTAAACTTTATCTCCTCACACGCTATAAAAAACACAAAGTTGGATCCAA